TCCGGGTGACCCGACGGGGCGAGACCGCCCGCGCCCCTAGCGAAGGCAGCGTCTGTTTGTGGCCTCGGGGATTCTGCGCGAGGCCGAGGGTCCAGGCAGGGGATGGGCCAGCCCGGTGCCTCCCGGGGATGCACTTGGGGAGCCTCCGGCTGCAGCCATCACTGAATCACCCTATGACGAGCGGGGCAAGCCTCAGTAACCGCAGAATTTCCGGGAGGTTGGATTGTGGGGTCGGTGTTCGCTTAGCGTTGCTGTGATTTCTTTGTGTCTTTCGCTTGTCTTAGATGTAACTCGGCTGACAGCCTTTCACCAAAGAGTTAATCAAAACTTTTGGAATGGTTCCTTCGCTTTTCTCCCACCCATTGCTGGTAGAGGTGATTTCGAAAAGCAGCATTGTCTTGCACAGATGGCTTTACTTTTGGGATACAGGGTAGAATAATAAACGCCTTTCTTTGCTGAAAAGGAAGAAATCCAGTGCTTCACGAAGATCAAGCAAAATTATATGTTGGTAGGTTTTACCTCTTTGTTCTGGGCTGAGAGGTTAATAGCTATTTTTAATTTTACTATAGTTTTGCAGCTCACAAGAAGCTCCTTTTCTGTTCTAAAATACTAGCCTTAGGTGTCTGGGAACTTCGTGCCCAAGAAATCTTAGAAAACTCATCGAAGTATGATGTACAGAGAAAAGTGCACAATCCTAAGTGTGCAGCCAAAGAATTTTTCCTAAGGGTACCGTTACAGATCAGGCAACAGCATTACTTGGTTGGGTTCATATCCAGGGGTGGGATTGTTGGTTTGTGAGGTATGTGAATGATAAAACTTTATTAGGCACTGTTGAACATTTCCCCAAAGTGGCTGCACCAATTAGCAGGGAGTAATATTCCAGTTACCCCACATCCTTCCTGATGCTTGTCACTTTTTTTAAAAAAATATATTTTATTGACTTTTTACAGAGAAGAAGGGAGGATAGAGAGTTAGAAACATCGATGAGAGAGAAACATCTACCAGCTGCCTCCTGCACATTCCCTACTGGGGATGTGCCCGCAACCAAGATACATGCCCTTGACTGGAATTGAACCCGGGACCCTTCAGTCTGCAGGCTGACACACTGTCTCCAGTGCTTGTCACTTTTTAAAAACTTTTGCTCTTCTGGGATATACCAGTGTGGTTTGATTTTGCATTTTCTGGATCATTGTGGTTTTGTGTGTGTGTGTGTGTGTGTGTGTGTGTGTGTGTATCTCCCATGTTTTCCACTCTGTATCTTGCCTCCTCACTTTTAATGGCTTTTTTTGATGAATGGAAATTCTCAATTTTAATGAAATATACGTAATCTTTTCCTTTATGATTACTACTTTTTGTACCCTATTTAAGAAATCTATGTCTAGACAAAGAATATGAAGATACTTGCCTGTGTTACCTTATAGGAGTTTTCTTTTGTTTTACTTTTCATATTTAAAGTGTATGATCAATTTACAGTAAATTGCAGCTGGATTGTAAGGGGTCAAGGTCCACTTTTTACTTTGTGGGTATCTATTTGACCCAGCACCGTTTATACCACAGTTGCCCCTCTGCAAAGTGTGGCACTTTTTTATTATCTGCTTAATTTCTACAAATTTTGGAAATCAGAATTGAATCTTTATATCAATTTGGAAAGAATTGACATCTTAACAATATTGACCTTTCCAATTTATGAAAATGGTATATTCCTCCATTTGGTTAGGTCTTTTAAATTTTTCCTCAGTAATGTTTTATTACAGAGGAAAAGTCTTGCACATCTTTTGATATTTATTCTTAGGTACTTGATATTTTTTGATGTTATTATAAATCATATTTAAAAACATTTGTGGCTGGTATATAGAAATAAAACAGATTTTTTTTGGTGGGAGGACCTCTGGAAAAACAATCTTTAATCTTTAAATACACCTTGTATGTTCTAGTTTTCCAAGGTTTAAAAATAATTTTTATTTATATATTTATTGTATCTCCAGTGTTTGGGACCAATTAAAGATTTATAGTGTTTAGTATATTGACAGTCACTGTGTTAAGCTGTGGGGAATACAATGTTGATTAAGATGCTGCTCCCGCCTGGCTGGTGTGGCTCAGTGGTTGAGTGTTGAACTACGTACCAGGAGATCACAGTTGATTCCTAGTCAGGGCACATGCCGGGGTTGTGAGCTCCATCCCCAGTAGTAGGTATGCAGGAGGCAGCTGATCAGTGATTCTCTTTCATCATTGATGTTTCTATCTCTCTTCCTCTCCCTTCCGCTCTGAAATCAATAAAATATACATTTTTAAAAAATGCTGCTGCTCCCCTTAAGAAACTTAGAGTCTAGGCCAGTGATGGGGAACCTTTTGGGCTCAGCGTGTCAGCATTTTGAAAAACCCTAACTTAACTCTGGTGCTGTGTCACATATAGAAATTTTTTGATATTTGCAACCATAGTAAAACAAAGACTTATATTTTTGATATTTATTTTATATATTTAAATGCCATTTAACAAAGAAAAATCAACCAAAAAAATGAGTTCGCGTGTCACCTCTGACACGCGTGTCGTGTCAGGTTCGCCATCACTGGTCTTGGAGGAGTTGTAGATATTCGAGAAAGACCTTTGTCCTCCACTAGGAAAAATGCTTTGATAAAAATTGGTTTGACTGCCTGCAAAGGGGGCATTTAAATCAAACTGGGGGGAGGTAAAATATCTGGCTTTTAGTGTTCTGAGAGCAAGGCAAAGGAAGTGGTCTGTGGGTGGGAGATACTATTCACTATACATACAGTAGTCCCTCTTATCCACAGGGGATACCTTCCAAGGCCTCCCAGTGGGTGCCTGAAACCATGGATCGTACTGAATCCTTTACACTATATGCTATATTTTCCCTGCACATACATACCTTTTCACTTAAAGGAAGCACTTTTCGGCTTTTCATTGTTATATCTGAATTGCCAGCATCACTACTCTTGCACTTTGGGGTCATTATTAAATAAAATAAGGGTTACTTGAACACAAGCACTGTGATACTTCCACAGTCGATCTGATAACTGAGATGGATACTAAGTGACTAATGGTCTGGCTGTGTATACAGAGTGAATATACTGGACAAAGGGGTGATTCATGTCCTGGGAGAAATGGAGTGGACAGAGTGGGATGGTGCATGATTTCATCACACTATTCAGAACGGTGTGCAATTTAAAACTTACGAATTGTTTGTTGCTGGAATTTTCCATTTAATATTTTCAGACTGTGGTTTATTGCAGGTAGGAGGATAAACTGTGGCAGGTGGATAAAGGGGGAGTACTCTACTTCTGCTTAATCCCTTGGTTTTCATCCTTGAGTATCACTTCACTTTTCTCTTCTTGAGTCTGGAGTCTCTGTGTTTCCAGAAATTAAATGTAATGAGAAGATGTGCATGGTGGAGTAGGGAAACTGGAGGGTTTTGTGTACAGACTTTAAATCACTAACCTGCTCTTCAGCTCCATACCTCTCCCCCACTGGCTGTATAACTGGAGACTTCCAAGTGCCGAGCTTTACTGCGTTTCTGTTAGTGAGGCAAATCACTCATTGACAATATTTCCTTCTGCAGACCTGTAAGGTTAGTTAGTTTACTTAGTTACATATTCCTCTTCTCTTGTCTCATGGATGCCATGTCCATGACTTCTCTCACCTGATGTTAATGTAGTTTAAGCTTTCTTTGCCTTGCATAGTTTTTCTCCCAAGTTACTTTTCCGCCCCTATTTGATATAGTTTCAGCAGTAGAGGCCCTCCACAGAGGTCTATTAATTTTTTATTGTTTCTTCATAATTGGTGACTAAAAGCTGTTTGGAAGCTCTGAGCTTATAAGTGGAGCTTACTGATTTAGAGATTTACTCTAATAATCTAGACCAGTGGTTCCCAACCTTTTTTTGGCCATGTCCTACGTAAGCATCTCTAAAATCCTGATGCTCCCCCGGCCCCTGTGACATATAATT